AACGCTGGCTTCCCCGGGCCCCTACTCACCAGGTCTCCCCAACTTCCCGGCTCTGAACTTGGCCCGCCTCGGGGCGCGGGCAGCGAGCCTGGTGCGCCGGGCGCGTCCCTGGAGCTCCCGCGGCCGCCGGCGCTTTCCGTCAGGCCGGCCCTCCCCGCAGCGCGCCGGGGCCGGGCGGGCAACGTGGCCCTTCCCCGGGGAGGCGGGGCGGGCCGGGGGCGGGGCGGGCCGCCCCCAGCCGCTCCTTCCCGGGCCCGCCTCCTTGCCCCGACAGCCCGTTCCCCCGGGTCCCCAACTTCGGGACGCGCTGGAGAGAGCGCCTTTTCCTGCTCCCAGCTGCAACCGCACGGGTCGAGACCCGATCCCAACCCAACCCGCAAGCCCGCCAGTCCAGACCGCCCCGGCCTCTCGCCCTCCCCAGCCCCGGAGCCCAGCGCCTCGCCGAGCTGGGGAGGAGAGCCCTGCCGGATGCCGGGCAGCCCTGAGGCGTGCGTTTGCCAAACTCTGGACCCAGGGTCTGGGGGCCTGCTCTCCAGACCCCCGCCCCCAAAGCTAGCTTCCGGTGGGGAGGAGTCAGGCACAACACATGGGCCCTGGTGCAGGGATGTTAGAACAGGAACCAGGGCGCCAAAAAGGAAGCCAGCAGGGGAAACACCTGCTGCCAAAAGCAGGAGAGGGCCAGCTGTGGCTTCTTTCATTTTGGGGGTGGGGGCTGGGGGCTGGGGAATGAGAGCTGTTAGTTCTGCGGGAAAGCCGAGACAGAAAGCCGAGACGGACGTGTCCCCAGGGTAGAACCATCAGACCTAAGGAGGAAAGGACTGGATCACAGGATTTTGTGGTAGCCTGTGGCAGGGGGTGGGGGGCAGAACCCAGAAAAGCCTAGATGTGCGTGTCTGACACTGAGAAGTGGGGTAGGGAGCTGGGCACTGGCTACTTCGTAGGTGATGTTCCTGAGAAGGGCTGAGTCCCAGGCCAGGCCTAACGTGATGAGGACACTCTCCTGGCACCAGACCCTCCCCCACCCTCCTCTTTCCCTGGCGGCGCAGAAGGCAGGCCTGAACTTTGCGGTGTGTGGTTACTCACTGACTTCGCTGGCTAACTTGTTTCTACATGAAACCGGAAGTATGCAGGGCTCTAAAGAAACAAAAGGCCCCAGAGCCCCTGTTTGGATGTGAGGTGCTAAAAGAGAATTACGTGGAAGCCTCCACATGCCAGACCCCTCCCTCAGCCTCCCTCCTTGAACCCTCCTAGCAGCTCTCACCCTGTTCTACAGACCAGGAATCTGAGGCTCAGGGTAAGTGCCAACTGCTGAAGATCTCAAGACCTACCGGGGGACCTGGCGCGCTTTGGGTCAGGCACCCCTGCCTCCAAAGCTGGAGTTCTCATGCACCCTGCATGCGGGTGCTGAGATGTCTGTGTCCAGTCTGACAGGCACGGGGGGCGGGGGGGGGGGGGGGGGGGGCCGGCGAGGAAACCTTGGAAGCAGTCGGAGCTCAGCCCTGACAGGGCAGAGCGAGAAGAGAGCTGGCACGTGAGTGAGGTGAGGCTGGACTGCATGTGTGTGTCTCGGGTGTGGGGGCTGTGGCGGGGGTGTGAGCCCACGCTCAGGCGCCTGCCAGCGGCCAGTGTCTGCGCCTCTGCCCTCGCTAAGCTTTTCCTCACGCAGGGGACATGGTAACCTACACTCACACTCCATGTCAAGGCAAAAGGGAAAACAATAAAAAGTCCTAAAAGTGTAAAAAGTTGGGAAACAATGCTTTGCAGATCCACCAGGAGCTAAATCACTCTCAACAATGGACGCAGTGGTATGCCGAAAACTGGGGAGACAACTGCCCAAGAGACGTCAGACTCCCACCTCTAACAATAATTCTCCGTCTCAGGCAGCTCCGTGCGGACCGAGACGGGGGGGGGGGGGCGGTGTGTGCACCAGCGCTCACCCCTCATCACCATCTTCTGCTGCTTAAACTCCAAGGCTCCCAGGGAGACCTATGTCGAAATTTACCAACTGCAGGAGGACTGTCCCGAGCAGCAAGGGCTTTTAGAGAGTTGGGATGGGCTGAATTCTTGGATGGAGGCAAGAAAACATTTGGTGCCAAACTGACCTGGGAAAGGACGCCCTGAGCTCTATACTGAAGTTTCATGGGGAGGGGTTATGGGGGAAGAAGGGCAGAGGAAAACCAGGAGGGAATGGGACTCAGATTGGATTATATGAAAATGGAAGAAATAGGAAGATCTTGTTACAGGATAAGAGAGACTAGAAGGACAGCACTGCATCCCCTTCCAAAAGACGGCCAGAGATAAGGAGAAGCCGGGAAAACTGTTCCAGGAGGCTGCCCTCCACAAACAGGGCCCAGGATAACCTGAATTTTTTTTACAACTTGGAAAGAATTCATGCTCTGAACTTAAAACAGATCTTGGCTTGAAACCATCAGAAGTAAAGGCAATGTATTAAATCAATGTTGTTTCTACTCTCCCCTCTTCCCTCCTCCCAATGTCCCCATTCCCCATGGAGACCCAGAAACTCAGCTCATCAAGATCCAAGAAAGGAGACAAGATTAACACAGTCATCGCCGAGCACTGTGTGTGAAGTAGAACTTTTCATTAGCCACCTATACCTTTTGGAAAAAAGAAGAACATAAGTAAGTTCAGTCAAAACACACAACATTTGGCCAAGTCTGTCCCTGGTCCTGGCTGAGTGGCCTGAGCATCCCGGCGCCCGTGTGAGAATGTGCCCGTGCGCGAAGGCCGGTGGCTGTCTTGAGAGGAGTGTCTCGTGGAAGGGTCAGGCAGAGGGCAGGGCCAGTGCTTTTGGTGGAAATGACAGGGGAAAAGAATTCGGGCTCACTCCAAAGAGGAGATGTCTTACCAGAGAGGCTGCCGGCGGGGCGCCGAGCTGCCCTCCCTGGGCTTTGCAGCGGGCTCCCCGGGGCCCCTGGCAGGCCGGGCGCTGCAGCAGCAGCACAGCACTGGGCAGGCGGTCACGGGCCGCCCCTCCAGGCTCAGGCAGGCCCTTCCTGCTCAGGGCTTCTGTGGCTTCCCCTCACATATCCACCTGAGGAAGAAGTCCCTCGCTGTCCTCCTCACAACACTGGACAAGTACTGACACAACACAACAGCCGGGACACCTCGCATAATGTAAGTGCTACACAAATCAGCACACCTCCGTGGTTCCTCAAGTGTTTCGAAGGCCTCCCAGGCCTCCCGGGTAAGATGAGGGCCATGCTGGCATCTCGGGACCCACGCCTACCTGGAGGGACTGTTGTGTTCCGGTGTCTAAGCACTGACCGACACCAGGAATTTGCTGGGCAAAGCTGGGAGAGGCGACAGGCCCTCCCTGAAATCTGAACCTTCTAAGGCAGAAACCTGGCCTCCAAGAGGCCCTCCCCGCCCCCCACCCATCAGACTGTAGGGGAAGAAGAGCTCAGGACCACCGACACCGCCCAAGCCTGCCCGCCCAACCCTCAGACCAGTGGAGGAGTCAGGGACTCGGCAAGGAAGAAAGGAAAGGGGAAAAGAAACTAAGTCATAAATACAGGATTTTCAGCTTGCAAATGGGCCTTAGGTTTTGTTGCCACCCCCTCACTGAATGTGAGGCCCAGATGTTGACACAGCTAGTGAGAGACAGAGAGGCTAGAAGCCAGCCTCCTGCCCCTCACCAGGCCCCCACACCCCACTGTCGATCAACAGTCCCAACTCCTCTCCTTTCTCCCAATACCTTCTCCTTTACTGTCACTGAGAAAAGCAGGCACCTTGGCCTGGGCAACCTGGAGTTCCAAGAAGGAACAGGCAGGAGGTGAGACGGTAACTGAGTGGGTCCCCTTTAAGTGGGGAGAGAGCCTGCTAAAGTACAAAGGGCTAAGAGATGAGAGTCAGAAAAAACTGTCATCTTAAAGCAGGAGAGAAAACGGGCCCATGGCACAGGAAGGGCCAGTGCTCAGTGTGAGAAACGGAGCTCCCTCTCCTAACCAGGCACTGGGCCCTGGAGGCCTTGGGGCTTGAACTTCCCTCCCGCTCCTGGAAAGGCGCACTCAACACCGGAGAGCCCTGAGGGCCAGATTCCCTCCATCTAAGTTCTTGGGTGCACGCACCTTTCCACAACTTGATGATCCCAAGTATCGTTTAATAACAACAAGATGAGACAAATTCAAGGTAGGCTTTTAATTAAGGCCATCTAAGGCTCTGCCAGCACACTAATTCAATAAAAGAACAGAGCTTTTCACTATGTAACAATTACACAAGCACATCAAGCAACGTCAGTGTTACTGTGTTGTATGTACATGGCCCTGGACACTTTTCAAAATCAATCATTTCCTTTGCTTCTTGTAATAACCTGTGAGGGGCTTAGAAAGCTAGTTACTGCCACGTTGCAGGCGAAGAGAACCCAGCAGAGAGAAACACATCTCGGGCTATACAGTGAGAAAGTGAGGGCTGCAACGCCAGTCCTCCTGATGCCCAGTCCTGCTCTGTTCCTCAGCTCTTTCCATGAGGTTTCATGGCCTAAACTCCCTTTCAGGTGAAGGAGGAGAGCAAACTTAGGAGGATACCTAGACCACCTCCTACCCGCCCCCTCAAGGCAGTTCGACTCAGCTCCTCAAACAGAACAGCCTGCCTCTGTCCGGGTGGTCCATTACAGAGTCTGAGTGTCGCTCCAACTGACTTGGAGTCCTATCATCTTCAAGCTGGAAAGGCCCTTACAGGTAATCGAATCCGGCATCCCTTCAGAAGGCTGAATTCTTTTCATGTGCCCCTTGGCCTAACCTCATAATTGCCATGGCTCACAACCCCTTACAAGGTTCTCCTTCCTGGGTAAGGAGTGGCTGGGAACAAGTCTGCACTCAAGAGAGTGCAGGAGAGGCAAAGTGTCCTTGTGTGCCCAGCACTGTAAGGGTTCTTCTCATCCGGGTACTTACTGAATGGCTGCCTCCCCAGACTCACCCCACTCAACACTTCCTGCACAGGAGCAGCAAGACACCAAGTGGGAAATGAGACAGAAACCTTACCTTTCTTCTCTTCTCTCAGCTGCTCCCTTGGAGATCATCACACCCCCATCCAGCACTCCATTTCCAAAACTGAGAATCCCAAACCAGAGACAAAGTGCAGCTTCTCTCCTCTTAGGCGAGTCCAAAGTCCGTGGCTGAGTGTACGTCCAGAGGGAGGAGTCTGGGGGGGAAGGGGTATGTCCAGGCCCCTCCCCCCCCACTGCAGGCTTCAGTGTCCCTCCCAGGGGTCTGTTATATCCCTTCATTCAGCTGGCTTATTAAGCCCAGAGTCTGGTGATGGGCAGATCCCAGGTGCTGCCCCACATCTTGCTCAGGGAGGGAAAGTCATCCACTGTGAGGACCGGCCCCTCTGTCTCCTGCTGGGGCTCCTGAGAAGAAGCAGGCCTTAGAACCGGCATGGCCCAGGAGGCTGATTTCTGTGTTAACCTGCAGAATATTTAAACATTGTGACACTTTCTAATCTACTATATTCTCAAATGGATTCCTAAGACTCCCTACCTAAATTAGATCCCTTTAGTATGATCTACCATGCAAACTCTTTCCTTACACCCTCCACAAGACATACAAAGTACCTACTTCACTCACATATTGCACCACAAAACAGTCACCTCATCAATATCTATATACACATGTGGCTCAGGATAAAGGAAGGATTGCACCTACTCTGGCAACAGAAAAGTAACCAAAGCACTGACGGTGTGTGGAGACTATCTTCTAAGAAACGTGGAAAAGAACATCCCTGTCCTGTCCTCTCCTCTCAAGTGCCACTAACTAACCGCCCTACATCTCCCAAGCTTCTTAAGGTGTCCAGTGTTCTGATCTGCTAGCTCTCCCGGACTGAACGAAATCCACCCCAGACCTAGATGCTGGCACCTTCCGCATGCATTCTTTGCTATCTCCTCTTCACCCTCACCTCCCCCGCCTCCTGCCGCTTCCACAACCGTGCCAGGGATGTAATTCCCGATCGCTGTCAAACTCCTCCCCGGAGCCACTCCCAAGAGCGCTCTCCTGGAATGTTTGAGGCCCGAGTCCAGCCTGCAGTGTTCCAATTCCCCAGTCCGGGACCTCACCCGGTCGCCCCTCCCCTCTAAGTTTATTCGTAAACATACACACACACACACTCAAATTCTCTCCCCTCTCAGTTCTTTCCTGTAGGGGCGTGGCGTCCACATGACCCCCCCACCCCCGCCAAAAACTTAACTCCTCCCACCCCTCTTCTCGGAAGCGCCGCGCTTTGGGTTCACCGGGAAGAGGGTGACAGCGACCCTCCCCTAGGCTCTGACTCCCGCCCCTGCACCGCCTGGACGACCCTCGCCCTATCTGCGTGGGTCGTTACCTGGATCCCGCCCGCCCCGGCTCGGCAGGATGCCGCGGCCCGCCCTGGGTCGCAGTCAAGGCCCCACGCCGAGTCCCCAAGGCCGGCCCAGGCCCCACCCCCTCGACCCCCGGCGGCCCGGCCCTCCCTTCGCGCTCCTGACCACCCCCATCCACCCCGGCCACTTCCGCCCGTCCTCCGGAAGTGAGCTCGCGGGATCGCCGCCTCCCCTCATTCCGGCTTATACTTCTACCCCACAAGCCCAGCCCATCATCACCGCCAACACGGGAGGATGGGACGTGGGTCTTTCAGGCTTTGATGTTGTTCTACAGCCGGTGTCCACGGGTCTGGAGACCGGGTGTGGGACGGCCAGGTCAGGGGGAGAACGGAGCTGGGGGAAGACAGCTCGGGCCGCGGAAAAAGGGGCGGGGTAGAGTGTGAACGACGGCGGGAACGCGCAGCACGTTGAGCCGCGCGCGACAGACCGAGGCGTCGTTGGCGCATGCGTCACGACGCCTCGGCCTGTCGCGTGCGTTGATGCTGGGACTGCCCGGCCCCGCGGGACTTTAGGGAGCGGAGCGGGGGCGGGGCGAGGAGGGCGGAAGTGGGGGCGGGGCAGCCTAGTCCACTTCCCTCGGACCTAGCTACCGCTAGTTTCACCCGGCTTCTGGCGAAGACTCTGCCTGGCTACCTGTCCCCCGGATGGCGGTCTGCCGGCGGAAAACAATTCAGAAAGTATTAAGGCCTGTGTTGACCGTTCGTGTGTTGGGACCTCTGTAGCAGAGCCAGAGGAAGGTGGTTTTCTTTTGTTCGTCGCGTCCTTTATCGCTGCACCTCTCTCTGTGGCAGGATCTACCTCGGGTGTAAAAAGAGAAAGCAAAGAGTGAGAGTACTCAAAACAAGTGCCCCTCTTTCCGGCGGCTGAGGGGCATGGTTACCATCTCCGCGGCCGCAGAGAGATTTACCCACGGTTCCGTGACCACAAAGCCCCAGAGGCAGGACGCGAGGCTCCCGTCGGGGCTGGCCATTAGTGTCGCTGTTGTATGCCAGCTGAGACTTGTCTCTGAAGAAATCTTTGCTGTCCTTCAGATATTGGAGTTACAAGTTCTGAAATTGACCTGGTTGCTTTTTTCTAAATGTACTGGGCTGACTGGCCTTTGACTTCAAGCTGAATCCAAAAGGAGTTACTGCTAGTTTTTGGAGTTCGTGTGTTAACCATTTAATGGCATCTTCTAGAATCTTGCCAGGATTTTAAATAGATTTGCAGGCCGATTTTGGTTTTGTTTCCTCCGCCCCCCCCCCTTTTTGAAAGCTGGAACGTAGACCTCACTCTTCTGGCATGTCTTCTGTGATGATGCGATTAATTTTAAGAAATAATGTATTCGGTCTTCACCCACCCCACCCAATCTCCTGTTTCGGGCACAGCGCTCCTAAAACCCTTGGAATTTCCAGAGTGATAAGAGCACTAGGAGCATCTTCTGTTCTAATACTTGGTCTTAACTGCTGTTCCTGACACAGTGCTCCTTAGACTCTTGTAATTTCTGGGTGACGGAAGTGTCTTTTGTTGTAATTAGGTGACTGGGTGGGCTCCTACACAGCTTCTGGGTGAGGACTGGTCACTGGAAAGACCTAGCCATGATTACAAGCTTGTGTTGGGGTGGCCAAAAAGCCCTTTTAGTTTTTTCTGAAAAATAAAAACCACATTTTTCAATTTTCATCAATAACTTTATTGATTTAGGTATTTTGAGTATGTCCGCTATCTCCTGCATGGTAGAATGTTGATTGTTCTTAATGTCTCGATTGATTGCCATCAGCGTCAACTGGTCTTCCTGACCGTGGAGCATCATCCAACAAGGAATCTCCAGCACGAAATTTTGCAAACTATTTTGACACGTTTGATCCGTTACAGCACCTTCTCCATAACACTGCACAAATCTTTTCTTGTGTTTCAGTTGTGTTTTTTACCTTTCTTGAAATAATAAAGCATAATATGCCAAAAATGTTGCTACACAAAAATTCACAAGTTTTGATAAGTTTTTTTAAAGCACACTGATATGACAGCTGTCCCAATACAATCTAACAAAATTGTTTTCAAGTGAAGTTAAAGACAACTAAGTGCTACTAGAACCATCTTATGAAAAAGAATCAAAGTTGTTTTTGGCTAATCCAGTATTTTTCAGGCTCCCTCCATCCCAATATTCTCTTGAGAAGGGAGAAGTGCAGAAAATGGGGTCAATGATCAAACCTCCATTAAAATCTCGATAGTATGAGATTTGGAGATCTTGCAAGTTTGAACACATCAACTTACTTGAGGGTAATGCCACCCAACTCCACCGGGAGGGATGCTCCAGCGCTCAGGACACTCCCAGAACTCGACCTGTGTCTCTTCACCTGGCTGTTCACCTGTATCCCTTGTTATACCCTTTGATAAACTGGAAGTGTAACTGGTGCCCTGAGTCCTGTGAGCTGTTGTACCAAATAATCATATCCAAAGGGGAGGGGGTCATGAGAACCTTGGGTTTGTATTCAGATGTACAGAAGTTATGAAGAACTAGAGAACCACTACTTGAGATTGGCAGCTGAAGACGGGGAGGGGGAGTCTAATGGGGCTGGGCTCTTACCCTGTGGGATATGACGGTAGATGTTTCTTGGTAGATAGTGTCAGAATTGAATTAAATTGTAAGGCCATCAGCTGATGTCACAGAATTGATGGACACACCATATATTTAGTGTCAGAGTGAAGTATTTCATACGAGTAGTGAAGGAGACACACAGGAGGAAAGACTAGGTTTTTCTAGTACAGGGTGGAACAACAGTGGGTTTACAGTTGTGAATATGTGAGTTGATTCTTATTTATTATTGTATTTCCATATGAACAACTAAACCTGCTGTTGCCCCAACCTGTATATTGGTCTCACTTGCTCTTGAACTCAAGCTGAATCCTAAGGGAGCTGCTACTAATTTCTGAAATTTATGTCATCCACTTAATATGTGGAAATTTGCCAGGACTATGGACAAATGTGCAGCCTCTGTCCCCATCCCTTGAAAACTGGGGCCTAGGCTCCACTGTGTTCTGGCATGTTTTCTGTCCCTGTGATTTTTCCGGATCACTGGCAGTGACTAATTTGCATGTTTTCAGTCCTGGGAATGTAATAGTTGTTAGGTCAGGAGTCTTGAAATTACTTTTTTATTTAGAAGATGTCATCATTAGAAACAGTCAAACAAACTCAGAGGAATCTGGGGGCTTGGGCGAGAAATAAATGATAGGTTTGTTCAAGGGCCTCTATAGAGTTTGCACACTGGGAACACTAGGCAAAAACCCGAAAGTGTTATGAAAGAAAAGTTGAGAGCTTTTATACTAAAAAGTGCTTCTTGAGAATACTCCGCCCTGTGTTCTTAGCCCTCGCATTGGCCCAGGGTGGCTGTCAGTCCGGTGTCGGGAGGTCTGTGTGGTGGCTGCCAGGTGGTCTAGAAGGTGGGCAGGAGGATGTCAGGTGCAAACCTGAGTCCCTTGGGGTCATCAGAGGATTGTCCGAAGCTCTGGTGTGTGGCCAGATGTGTGCCCAGCCATTGACATAGGACTGGAAAGTTCAAAAGGTTTACGTTCCCAGGCTACTTAACTTAGAACAAGAAGAGAGCATGTACTCGTGCCTCAGTTTTCATAATGTAATGGGGGAACTACCCTCCTCAATGGGGCGGGGTGGAGAGGCCATGAAGATGGGTGTGTCGCCCTGGCAACCCGGAGAACGAGTGTGTGACAGTTAAAAAAGAGGTGTCCAAGGCTGGTGCCAAAACCTAGGAAGATGATTGGATAGGAGGGCAATGCCCTCCCATCCAGTTCAGCCCAGCAGGGGTTATGGGGAAATCTTTGAAAAGCAGAGCCATGCAAATGTGGGGCTTTCACTCCCCCATCCCCTGGGCAGTGTGTGTCTTTTGCAGCTGGGGGGCTGAGGCTCCTGAGCTGGGGGCGTAGCAGGAGGTGTTCCGGGCTGCCCCGCCCGTCCACTGTAGTGCTCCAGGACCTGCCTGTGCAAGAGCGCAGCAGGTTTTAGAAAGGGGGGCAGTGGGGCGGCTCAGCAGCAAACCCTGCGGCCCTTCCCCAGGTGGGAAACTGTGGAGGCTGGGGGCTGGGCCTGGGGCTTGGGGTTTGGGGCTTGGGCCAGCAGGTCCCAGGAGGTGGTGCGACTGGGCGACAAGTCCTGTGGTGGCCACCTGCCAGCCACCTGTGCGCTCCTCTGGTGGGGGAAGGGGGGGCATCAAGAAATCTGCTGTGTATGTTTTTAAGTAAACAAAAAATTCTGTTTTCCTTTCCACCAGACTCTGTCTCCAGAGTTACTGCCTGTGGGTGGTGGGCCGGTTGGGGGCGGGGTAAGGGGGCGGGGAGAGGAACTCCACTAGTTCTTTGGTTACAATAATGTTAGTAATTTTAGCAGCTTGGTTAAAGTGACTCCATTTTATATATTTCCTACCCACACTCTTTCCTTGAAACATTCTGCAAACAAAATTTATAGTGCTGCCTCATTCAAACATAACAGGTCTGCAGATCCTGATCCTTCCCCAACTCCAAGCCTACTCCACCCAGTTGTCCTTCTTACCCCAATTAATAGCAACTCCATTTCCTTTACTGAGGCCAAAACCCCAAGAGCCATCCCGTGTCCTCTTTCTCACATCCTCTACCCAACCTGTCTGGCATTCCTGTTGGCTCTACCTTCAAAACTATGTCTAGGACCCGACTCCTCCGCATCCCCTCAGCCGCTGTCATCCCTGGCCG